TTGCTAACCCAGGACTTCCCCGCCTCGCTTCCCTTTACGGCTGCGAAGGAGTTATCCTTTCGACTACACTTATGAGCTGGCTCTGTTCTTCTGACTCTCTGGCTTTGCTTGTGGCTGTGGTTAAAACTAGTTCATATTTGCTTGCACAGAAAAAAAATAATACCTTAGAAAGGCAACCTTGTTGAATAAGAAATCTTTAAAAATGTTTTTAAAGTAGTTAGATGTTCTATAATCCAATCAGTGACTTCTTAGCCTATTAATGAACAACAACGTTAATCAAATATAATTGTTTCTTATTATTTATTCCCTGTGTATCATTTTCATTGCCCATCTCTGTATCTAAGCTCTGCCGCTGTTCAACATGGCACAAATTATGTTAGCCGGCAATCTCTGAGGATTGACTATGCATGAAGAGAAGCCTCTAAGTGTGCGGAATATGGACTGGGTGGTGCTGCGGGAGCTGTGGGAACGATGTACCAACGCACACACGGAAATGTTATCATAAGTTATGGCTAAAGTTTTTCCAGGCATTAGTTTTTGGATTTAACACTGAAGAAAAGCTCTGTCAAAAAAATTAGGAAATTAATAAATACAAAAATAATATGAAGCTTTTGTTGATAGGTACAAGAGGTATACAAGAGGAGGTATGCTTATTACCACATGCCTTATTAGGTATTATTATTTTGAAAAATGTCCTATCCTTTCTTTTCTCTTTGTGTAATTTTTTCTTTGTGGCCTATCAGGCAACGACCATCATTGCTTTTTAAATACACACATTTGCTCTGTGCAATTTGCTTTAGCTTGTATTAAATTTTCTTGCCGGAATTCCAAACTAGCTGAAGGAGCCAGAAAGCAAAGCAATGGACTCGCATTCGCAGAGACACATCGCAGATCTCACTCCTGGTGGCCCGAGGACGATACAGGAAGTGTTAGCTTTGTGTGCCGCATCTAATGTACAAGCTAATGGAGCAGGAGTGGAAGGCAGGTGGACAGTTTGCCGGATTCTCCGTGTGCTAAGCCCCCCGAACTCTCACGCCACCGACAATGGACACGTACACACGATTAGAGACATTCCAATGAAATGCACAGAAAGAAATAATCTTTAAAATAAAGAAAGAATTTCAAAGGTCATAGCAAAGAACACTCCTTTTGGAGTCTTTTTCCTCAGTGTTGGTCAGGCTGTTGCCTTGGGAATTCGACACCAACATGCACTGACTACGGGACATTCTCCCCAAGGAGCAAAAGACGAAAGACCAGGGATCAGGAAGCCAGAGGTCCGCACAACTACAAACGCGCAAACAATGAAACGAAATTTTTGCGCCACGGCATCCTTAAGGCGCAATGTAATTTCCTGTGACAAAATACAAAGCTAATCTCCAGGACACAACGTTGTCGGGTGGAATAAATTCGCCATCCAGCGAAACCTGACTAAAGGATTTGGATGTGTGTTTTGCAGGACATCCCGGTGACTTCGATATGTGCTGCCAGGTCAGGCTAGAGCCAGAGACCAGCGAGGATTTGGCTCCACTTCAGGATACCCGTAGAGCAGGTCAAGGCTTTAACATCTCACACTTGCCGTGATCTGCTCCAAGTCGTTTGCCATTTGATGAGCGTCCAACAAAAGCGCTACACAAATAGCCAAAGAAATTTCAAGCTGGCGAAAATAAATCGAAACTCAAACTTTCGTTGCCAATCCAATCCAAGGGATTTATTTTTTCGGTTTCGGTTTTTCCAGCATTTTTTCGTCCGGCTGGATCAGATGGCAGGACATTTGTTGTGACACGGCCGGGGGATTCCGTTTGATTTCTCAAGTGTAAACTGCAAAGGCAGCAGCAGCCTTGTCCGTCGCACAAATATCAATATGCCAAGCCACGAGTCACCTGCGACCGCCTTCCTCACCATCTCCGGCTAGGATAATTGAATGGAGCCAGGTGGCTGGAAAATCCCCTATCCTGCCATCCTGCAAGACAGCTCTCGTTGGCAAATGCATCGAAATCATCAGCAGCAAATAGGGCAAACAACCTGTTTAGGCATTCCGGCGACGCACTGTCGATGGCCACAGCCCGCACGGACGGAGGGAGTCCGGGAACTTGTGCGGGCGTGGGCCTGGACTCGTGGTCTTGATTTACCCAATTGTTGGCTGATTGACAGAACACAGCCAACACAGCTTGGAGACGAGCTACAGTGGTTTTCAAGTTGCGGTCTTTAAACCCATTTTAATGGACACAGACATCTCAGAATACTCTCGCTAATGTGGCCGATGGAAATCCAATTTAGCCAAGTTCTCCATGGTATTCCTCGTGTTCTGCATTTGACAGTTCTTGTCTAAAGTTCCGAAATAACTCTAAATTCAGAGCTTCAGGAAAGAGTTATTATAGTAAAAGATTGTTCAATATTGGCATCATATTAGAACGTTCTAACATTCTTTATTTTTATTTCTGTAAACCGATTGAATTTTAAAACCACTGCCGACTCAGAGCCCAACAAGAAATGCAGAAAAAGAACTGATAGAAACCTTGGCACCTGACTATCCTTGCTGATCCCTGCAAAACCATTTTGACTGGCAAATGGACAATGAAAATGTCGGCCTTCTGTAAGCCAAACCCAGAGCCATGAAGAGGGATTGTTGAAGCCCCTTGTTTGCGTCACTAACGCATGAATTCCAACGGCCTTCAAAGGCACCACTCGTTTATCCAAAAACACATAATCTGATTTTATTCCGATTCGACTTTAGCAGAGCCGTTGTGCAAACAATAGCCCACAAAAGCCAACAATACTGCCAAGCAAATACATAAAACCAGATAAATGTTACAAATTGGTTAATCCGCAGCGCAAATCGCTTTTCAATAACGCTCAATATTTAGCTTTTAAATGTATAATAGTTTAAATACAAAATTTACAACAAATTAAACACTTCAAAGGTTACTTTCTATAGTGAAAGTGATGCAACTTTCACCATTTTTATTACTTTAAAGCTTATATCCATTTATTTCCTCCTAAGAGCTGTTTTCCAAGCCCCGGCTTATCGCTCCGTCCGTTTAAAACATCCGGATGGGTACAAGCTCGTATATCCCATGACCATTTTGTGTTTTCATGGGGCGCGTCCTTTGACTTGTTTGTTTGTGATTCCAGAGCTCCCGGCGCTGTTGCTTCATTATTTTGTTTGTTAACCCACCAAGCCGCCACCGTTCCCCCCCAAAAGAATCACCTGTATGCAGGACTCTGCTTCACCCCCCCTCAGCACAACACTATACCTCCCTTATACCCCATACCCCATCCCTTATCCCTTATCCCGATGCTGTTTTTCTATTTCTATGCATTCATGCATAATGGCTGGCAAACGTTTACAATGGCAACAGCATGGATTTCCGCACGTTACCATTTGCGGTCCATTTGCGGCAAGTGAGGGGGGTGTGGGGGGTGTAGAAGAGGTCGGGGCGGGGGTAGAGGTCACCATAGTACTGTTAGCATGATTGAAAAACGTGCGCCCCTCTTTATTTCCTTTTCCTGATGCCCTCGAACCCAGGACTCTCTCCGCTAAAAATTGTATGGGATTCGCTGTCATTGTCGATGTTTTGGTGTTTATTTTGCAGAGAGAAAAAATTTGGGTGATAATCAATTGGTAATTTATCAGAAAAGTACAATGTATGAAGCATCAAATAGTGGATATCTGAGAAAAAGATTTTCATTCAAATTTTATAGACACTATCGATTGTGAAACTCTGTGTTTATTTCCCTAATTGTATGTCTGCTTCTGCATCCCTTTTTAAAATTTTATAGCCACCTTTACAAGTTTTTTCCTGTGTACTCCCCCCTTTTTCTCGGGTCGGCCTTTACAATTACGTAATTTATTTTAACTGTGTCAAATCCACGCCGATCGACAGCGATTATGCTGGCAAATTGCAACAATTCCTTTTGCCCGGTCCCACTCGCAATTTGTAAATGTCGCCGGCATCCGTCTTTGTCTCTGTGCGTCTCCCCATCTCTTTCCTTTCGCCCGTTTCTGTCTCTTTCCGCGGCCGGGAGGAGTGCGTAATGGGAACAGGAGATGGCAACCGGAGCAGGGAGATGGAAATCCTTTCCCGGGAGCCTGGTTGCCCGCCACTCGGATCTGTGTCTCGTTCTTGGTCTCGGTCTGGCGCTCACTTAACTGCAATTAACCGCAGTGTGCTAATTAATTTGCTCATAATTGATGCGATTATGTGTTCCGAACCGCTACAAACAATACAACCCGCCCTTGGCCCCGAGGGTCGCATCAAAACTTCAACCGAAATTGGCACAGAGGCCATTTCGAGTTTGTCCGGAATAGTAGTGCACTTTTGTGGTGTGATTTGCTTCTGGCTGGCACTGGCATTGGTCCTCGTGGAAATCAGACAAACTAAGCCACCCGAACGACAGTTCCTGCACAATTTATTAAGGGTCTGGTCAATTGTGAAAGAGTCACGGCATCGCAGCATCCTCCATGCAGGCGGAAATGAGCCGAAATTGCAATCGGAATAGGAATAGGGAATCGGAATCGGAAGCTGGTCTCTGTTCGCTTTTAGTGGGTCAAGGCGGTCAGTGGTCAGTGGTTGGTGGCTGATGGTATTTCTCGTTCTCCTCCCTGTGGTGCAACTTTGTGACTCATTTGACTTCATAAAACAAACCTCTAGGTAGCTCTTTGTCATGAATATATGGACCCAATGAGAAATATTATTCCAATATAACAATATTGTTTTTCCCAAACATCCTTTCTAATTAAAGTCTAAAATATTAAGTATTTTTTGTTTGTGTAAAGAGTTATCCTGAAATACTAAAAACAAGGCAAAACAAGAGGCTGCCGGGTTCGCTTGTCAGTTAATGTAAATGCTCTTTCCTAAAAATTCCGTTTCATGGGGCGGGCATTCGAGTATTTGCCCAGAGGATGGCAACCATTTCTGGGGCCCTCCATTTGGTTGATTCGGATTCTATAGAGAGACAGATACGGGGGGCTGCTGGATGGGGACTGAGGTGGTACTTACCATTTAGGACATGCACACGCACACTGGCAACATCTGCATTGGAGGGCGCACAGGAATATTTGCCAGAATCGGCCAGATCTGCATTCTGTATGAGGAGAAATGAGGTTGTCACATCGCCCTTTTCGGTAATTACCGACACGCCGCCTCTTGATGAATCATAATTAATGACCTGCAAATGTAAGAGGGGATCGTGTGAGTACATTCCCCAGCAAAACAAACAATAATGCCAAAACAATGAGAGTGGTAGGCAGACGAATAATTGTTGTCACGGCTGTTGCCTAATGTGCTTTTAAAGTCCCTTCCAAAAAAACGTAACAAAATTAATAAATAGAATATTAAGACTGCAAATGATATGTCTTTGATTTAAATTACAAAATAATTCAAGGTGTAAGACAGTGAATGTGAGACAGGTTAGAGGCAGCAGGTGTCTCTGATTGACACGGCTGAATATTGCGATTTTAATTGGAATTTGATGAGTGTGTTTATGATTAAAGTCGACTCGCGAGTCGCAACATCAAAGATCACGTGAGATTTCATGCAAATCAAGCGAACTTAAGTTGAAGGCTGCTTCTCATTATGATTATTACTCCTGCCACTCCGTCAATATCATCCAATTCGATTATCGATTTCTGTCGAATGGCAGGACCTCTTGAGAACTGCCGCTAACAGCTAACAACAGACAGGCAGCAGAAAACAGCCAAGAGCAGCTGAATGCATATTAAGTCGCTACCGATGGCTGACAAAAACAAATACCGGAATAATTTACCAATACACAAGGCACCAGGCACCAGGCCAGAGTTGGGAACAGCAAAGAGCTGACAGGGAATTGATATTAACACATAATGCCGCTGACAGGGCAAAGACTTTCGCCAGAAGCCAGTTGCCTGATGCTTGAAGCCTCGAGAAAAAAACAAAAACAACAGCGGAAATGAGATGGCTGACAACCCTTGGGCCAAAACTGAAGTGAACCGAGGAGGTCTGTCTGTTCCGGAGGGGAGCCGAGCATAATTTGCCATCTAATCCCGGCTAATCGACAACATTTGCGATAGTATGAAGAATGAAAGGAAAGTTAGCGTCACTGATAATGATGACGATGGCCAAATGGATATAGACATAAAGTACTATGACAGGAAATTGGCTAAAACGAAACCATTGCTACCGATTATGGTAATTTCAAGAGATATTCGAACAGGTGATATTCGAGTATCCTTAGGAATAATATTATGCTTTACTACGGAAAAAATAAATGTTTATAGATTGTTGGATGCCATTTTTGGATTGCTTGTAAATTTTAATTTTAACCCGAATTAACAATCCAAGTTATAGACCCCACGATTCCAGGGTATCAGTCGTGAAAACAATGAAAATGACAAAAACTTTGTCGCCGAAACTTTGGGCAAGTGAAAAGTTTGCCTATCAGCCAGGACACGATACCCGAGCGCTATTACTGCTGACTCTGGAATAAATTTCATATTTGTATTATAATATTTCTGTCGGCGGCCCAAATTAGTTAATGAGTCGTCAGTTGGATGGGGGGAGGAGAAGTGGGCGTGGCCATAAATGCGAATCTGCAGTTTGCCATTTGATAAATTGGAAAAAATACATTTTTGCACAGCATGCAGACTTAAAAATTCATGGCGTGCCGCTTGCAATTTTCATGACAACTGCAGCTGGTTCCGTTCGGGTATCTGACTTCTTCAATCCGGGGATCGGATCGAAACGAATCGAATTGGATTCAATTGAATCGAAAAAGCCACACGCCGTTGGTAGCCTGGAAACACAAGCAGGAATAATAACACCGGATCACAATGACAAAAAAGTAAATAAAATATTTGTGTAAAATGTTTGTAGCTCATTGAAAATGCGCATATATCCGATTTATGTGGCACTCTCTCAACGCAATAATCGCCCGCATATTTCGAAAATAAAAAAGCAAGAAAACCGAACCGTAAAAATCCCAACATTGCCCACTAAAAGTACATAAAAGTCGGCCCGGGGCTCAGGACACTAAAAATACGAGAGAGCGAACAAAATAAAGCACTGGCTATTGAAAATTCCACTTGAATATTGAAACTGATCCGGGACCAGGAAGTTTGCCAAAGAGCCTGGATAAGGTGAACTAACTGCCTCTAAGCTGAAGACAAGACAACGTCAGGTAATTGGAATAATGCCAAATATTTATACATGGCTAGAAAAAAGAAAGCATTTTAAATATGTATACCTAAAAGAATAATTTGTGGACTTGACAAATTTGAGAAAAAAAAAAAATACAAATATATTAGGTATATAATCATACAGCACTCTCTTAAAACTGTTTTAGTATTAAATATTTTCCCATGTGCCGGAATTAGCCGATTGAAGGGGCTCTTCGTGCCCCATATGCCACATTACCTGTCAAGGCTCTGACCTCAGGTTGGCGGAAAGGCGAAAATATGCAACACGTTAATTACAATTAGCGAGCGGAAGTGCGAGCTGCCAGAGCTGCAAAAAGTGCTGCGCACATTTCTGTCGCTGCGGTGGCAAAAACCGTGCAAGTGGATGTGGAAGTGCATCAGATGAGTTTATCCATCCATTAAACTAATTAACAGCAAATTTGCATGGATCGTAAATAATCCGTGTGCACAGGGCAGCTCGGAGCCGTGTGGAAAGGACGCGGACACGGACACGGACACGGCCAGGACTTTACAAAGCCGGCGGCAAGAACGCGTTGTTAAGGTTCCTCTCCATACTCAACTAGGAGCAGGTCCCGGCCAGGTGGGCCAGGCAGGGCTGCAAGGATTTTAATTAGAAAATTCCAGGAATACATTAAAATCCGCCAAGTGGCCAGGCAAGAGCAGTAGTTGCCGGCAGGATTTACCTCGTCGCCATTTGGTTTTATACTTTAGCTTCCTTTTTTTTTTTTAAGCCGAACCTCTCCGGCATTTTCTCTCGTTTTTTGTTGATATTTTGTTTGGCTTTTGCATTGCAATTAGTGTGCCACTGTTGCGGATGCGGATTCGGGCCAGGACTCAAGCTGAAGCGCATTTAACGCCCCGCAATTAGCCAGAAGTTGATGCAGCTCAGCATGGCTAAGACAACAGAGCTAATTGACAGGAGCAAGGGCAGCCAAATGGTGTAAGGATACTGTCCCCACAATCCTTATCCTCCTCCGTCACTTTTCAGTTCTTTGTCAAATGTTTGTCACCGCCGGTAATTTAAACATAACCTGTCCGCCAAACGCCATTGACCCAGTTGCCGTCGCACCGCATTTGCATGTGCGAAGGACATGCAGGATATCGCAGCGCGTTGATTCACTCATTAAAATAACAACAGCTGACGTTTAAATAACGTTGGGGCAGGGCCGAATCTGATGAGGGTTTCGCGGTAGCATGTGGGAGGGGGGTGTAGGTGTGGAAAGTGTCAAGAACGGAAGGTTGGAGAAATGCAGGATAACTTTTTCCAACATCCGGTGGCGTATGAGTAACGAAGTTTTCCCCAGCAGATTGAAGTTTTCATTTGGCTTAGTGGGAAATGATGAAAAACAAGGAATATCCTTGCATATATCGAATGAATTATTTTTAATGAAAAATGTTTTATAATGATTCAATTATATTTAACTTAAATCGTAAGGCTAACTACTACAAAAGAAAGTACATTACTTTTTCTCACAAAAATAAAACTTGTAAAAAGTGCTGCCGTTAATCTTTGCCAGACAATTGACTATTAAAGGAAAATCTCGCAATCTTGGTAGTTGAGGTGCGTTAGCTGTTCAAACAATATAGAGAATATGTAACAATAAACTTGAATTACCTCCTCGTGATGATACCAGAAGATGTAGGCCGGTGGCTCGGGGCTGAACTTTACAGTGCAAGTGAGATTTATGGTGCTGCCTTTATCAACGTGAAGGTCAGGACCTCCCAGGATGGTGGCCGTTGGCACTGGAGACACCGAAAAAGACACAGGACAGAAAGGACACAGAAAAATAAGTGCATGAAAAAGCGAGTTGTTGAAAATAAAAAAAAAAGGACACAAATGGAAGGAGTCTAGGTGGGCGGTGGAGCACTGTGTGGCACTGTAGAATAATAAAGTACGAGATAAAATGGAATTATTGTCGTATAAAAACCAAGTCCTCGACGTTCCATCGACATTGCCTTGGCCGTGCGTGTTACTCACTCGTTTGCTGTGTGTAATTTATTTGTTCAACAACTTGGTTTATTTTCTTTACTTGCTATTTTTTTTTGTTGCACAGCTGCCTCTCAGCGAGTGCCCTTTGTTATTTGCGACGACAAATGGCTGATTTTTTTATGAAGCCCGAATCGGAATCCCACCGAATACTCACCGACTACATTGAGGCGAACGAAATAGCTGCGGACCGGCTGCGTTGATATCTGGCACTCGTACATCCCGGCGTCCCGCTTCTGGGCCCACTTTATCTGGAGGGTCCAGTCGTCAGTGTCCTGGTGGTGGGTGGCCTGGAACCGCTGGTCCGAGGTGTAGGTGTACGAGCCGACGGTCAGGATGTGTATGTCACGATGCCGGATCCAGGACACCTGCAAAAGGAGCCAACCAAACGAAAGCCATTAAAGTTTATTGTTTGTTTCTATTTTAATATTTGTTTATTGTTTTCAAGCTATACTAATTCTAATTAATACCTTTAAATAATTGTAGAAAGTGTGTATTAAACCTTTTTAAAATTATACACCATCTTCTCTATTTAAGGCCAACGTCTGGCTCATTAAAAATGCAGCAATTGAAAATAGATTGCCGACATCATGCCATTAAAATCGAATAAAACTCCCAGACTTTCATGGAGATAATGCCATGATGCCGTGGAAAAGGCGATAAAAACTTTTTGTATTTGTTGCTTCTCTGTATTTTTTATTTTTTTGGCATACGTGACGTATGAGCAATGTGTGACGCACTGAAAAATATTTTGGCAGAAAATCTTGGGGATTTGAAACTCTAAGGATGCTGTTGCTGGTCGTGCTCGAGTTGTTTTGGCTTTGCTTAATTATCGCAAACTTTTTAAGTAGTTTGCGGTGCACAGAGATAACTTTGTAAGCTGGCACCGCCGGCTTATGCAAACTTATTAAGTCAAATGTAAATGCAAAATTATCGCACTTGACAGCCAGGCGGGCACCCTCCCACACACACTCCACTCCTCTTCCTAACCATATATAAGTATACGTACTAACATGGCCAAAAGGAACTGCCACAACGATGCGTGCGTGCGTTTAATTATACGAAATGTTGTTGCATACTTTCGAGAGCCGCTTCCAACAATAGCGCCTCCATAAGGACTCGGTACGGGTGTCCTTTTTCTTTTATTTTTTGGATGGGGGTGGTGGGTGTTTGCGTGGGAACAGAGAGTATCGCAAGGTAAAGGGTTCATGTGTGTTAGATTCCCCGTGCAGCAACCAGGACGAAAGTGCATAAAAGTGAGAAAAACATGGCGTTCGCACTTTTGACAACTCTCGCAGCGACAACGCTGCCATTAAACAAACCTTTTACGCAACAAATTAAAGCGTAATTAACAAGTGCACGCTGTGTTGCATGCGGTGCCGTAATGGAGAATCCTTTACAGGACCCACCCCTTGCCACCAGATCCCGCCCATATTAGCAGAAACGCCTCCTCAATATGAACAGGGAGAAAACAGGCAATCCAATTTGTACAACCAATTTGGTAACGTTAGTGTGGGGTTTTCTTACAAAAACTTATGTTTAAAATATTAACTATACAGACTCTGATATATACAAGCTTTGAAACACTCTTTGAATCAAAGTCACCAAAAGTGTATACATTTTTTCTCAGTGCCCGAACATCAGTAACAGCAAAAGCAGCAACACAACAACTCGACATTCCGCTTCAAGTTGCAAGTCCAGCCCTGTTGCAGGAGCCACTGAGCCACTAGGGCGAGTGAGGCGAGCTGGGACGATGGCGGTGGTGGTGCCAAGTGGGTGCAGCAGGATGCCCTGCTGTGGTGTGGCGGTGCAACTTTTCGGGTTCGTGCAACTCGGACTGAGAGCCAAGTGCTGTTGACGCGTGCGGCGAGAGCAATTTCATGAAATTGTTTAAATAATTTCGCGCTCAAATGCAATTGAAAGTGCTGGGTGAAAGCTGAGCGGGGGGCGTGGTTCAAAAAGGCGCGCCCACTTGAGGTTGAACAGTTGATGTATGTGTGTGTTAGTTCCTCTATTCCATGTGTGTGTGTGTGTGTGTTTGAGCTTGGACTGGCACTCGTTTCTCTTTTGTTTGGCAAGAAATTAAAAGTTGCGCCTGCAAACGGCATCCTGCAACGCCATCCGCATCCGATTCACATCTCCATGCCATGCCATTCCATTCTCATTCTGGTGCTCGTTCTCCCTTCTAGCGGCATCCACTTCCTGGTGGTGCATTTGTGTCAAGTACTCGCGAGCGTGTTGAAAGTTTGTTGGTTTTTGGCATTTGAGCCTCGGGTTTTTCACACTGAAAACTGGGAGAATGAGGATCCTGGTAGCGGTAGTGAGTGGCGAGCATCTGTATGCAAATTTGAGGAAATGGAGAATCACTCCTCAGGGGCCCAGGCTCAGGACGTGTGGCGTCCTTATTAATCGCTTTTTTGCCCCTTGTGCCGCCTAATTATTCATGAACCTATCTGTCGGGCATATTAAAAAATTTTTATCCATCCCCAAGCTTCCGTCTCCTGTCACTTTTGACAATTATACATTTCATTAAACACATTTAAAGGGTGTGCCAGCTGGGTTCCCCGTTCCTAAGTAAATGCTACAAAATGTTAGCAAAACGTTTCTACACCGAAAAGAAAATTAAAGCTTCCCTGCTTATTCTAAGAAAAATAATCTTAATATTTCCTGAAAAAGGTATAAAATTATAATTATTTTTAAAATTCAGTTCCTTGTATATTTGGAGAAACTTTTTCCTCAGTGCCGGCACATGTTTTTCATATTTTGTTTTTCAAATATATTTTTGAATCTTAATGCTGTCTGCTTGTGACAGCAGGAAGCTCCAAAGATTAAGCTGAAGGAGCAGCAGGTTGCCTACGGCCGACCTTTGCCCTTCGACCCGAAAATAAAAACGGGGAAAAGGGAGCAATTAAAGCAGATAAACAGAGGAAACAATTGCAAAACAACAACATCATCCAGGAGGAGGAAACAAAAACAAAAAAAACGGGGAAAAAAAAGAAGAAATTGCTAAATTTCCCGAAGACAAAAACAACTTAGTGCCAAACTTGAAAGTCGCTTCACCACAAAGCCAAACAACATCGGTCGGGGGGACTAGAGAACTAATTAAAAATTTCATCGTCATGCTAGGGGAATTACATTTCTGGTCTATGCCTCCATGTCGACGACCAGGTTAGGAAATCAGCAAAGAAATCAAGCCAGGACAAGGACAAAAAAATTAAAAATGAAAAAAAAAAGATTTCGCGCATGGAGAATAAGCAAAAGTTGGAAGAAACTTTAATGGTAAGGCTAGTCAATGTCGTCACGCACGACAACAAAGTTTTCGACACGAGTTCGCTGTTAACCCCAACAGCTTTCCCCAAAAAACATTTTCCACCAAAAACACTGAAAGAAAATTATTCCATGAACTGAAAAAATACGGGAACATCAAGGACTATAAAATGACAATATTTTTATTTTGATTTTTAAAGTGCAGACTCTGTGAGCCTAAAAACTCACCGTTTTGTTGGCCAAATTGCGCACACGGCAGCTCAGGTAGGCCGACTTGCCCATTAGGGCGGTGACATTGCGCGGAGTCGAGGGATCGAAGTAGGGCTCCATCCACTTGGGGTGCGTGTAGGCGGCGGTAGGCGTGGTGGGCTGAAAGAGGGCCGCCTGCCCCACCGACTGTGTGGTTGTCAGTAGCTCGTCCAGTGAATTGTATCCCTCGATGGGTCCCTGCACACCGGCATTTGTCATGTCTGAAACGAGGAGAGCACAATGCCGAGGCGAGAAATGAAATTTTCGATTCGGTTGCTGGGTACAAAGTCAAAAAATCCTGCAAATAGACACCTAACACCCCGACACATGCATATATGCAAATTTTAGAGTGAAGTGGGATGATATGGAAAGAGAACCTTTTATCTTTGTGCAGCTCACCGCAAAAATATTAAAAACCCAAAGTGCAGCTATTGGCAAGAAATTTGTGTGGCGTGCAAAATGACATTTACATTCATTCATCTACCCACTGCGGTGCTTTCTCACCCAGAATTACACTCTTCTCCGATGCACTACATATATGTATGTATGTCATTGGGTCCATTACATTCAGGACCCGCTCATTAAAAGTGCCCCGAGCCGTACTACTCTGTGTCCTGTGGTCGAAGGTGAATGTGTCCAAGTGGCCCCCGGCCATTGGAATTAGGCCTGTGAGCCTTTAACATTCAATTTGAACGATGTCCGAAGGGGCCTCTCAGTAAATGCATTTTTAAAGTCGTACATCCTGTCAGCAGAGGTACCGTGGAACTTGTTTTGTTTAATTTAATCCTCAGACTTTTGTTTTGAAATTTAAATGAATTAAGGGACAATTTTATATCTAAATATTCTTTATTTCATTATTATGACACACTAGAAATTTGTGTATTATTCTCCTAGGTTTTAAATCAAACATTTTTGTGAGACTGTGCACTGGGGAAATGAATCTACAACTGGATCCTGTGGCTCTAGCTCTTCGGTAGAAACTTGGCGAACAGGAGGGTGTTGTGGCAAGGAAAGTGGCAAGGGTTGTGGGTTGAGGGGGCAACATTCAAGCGACTGAAGTGTTTGCGGTTGGCAAGAACAAGTGCACACACAAACACCCTAACGTCGCCCCATCCCGCACTAACACAGACGCACATAGCTGGTGGAATTGTGTCACTGCTCACACACACAAAAGCACATATGGCAACCGCAAGGATTCCCTGCGCCTTTCTCCTTGCGTTTTTTGCACCCGGCCAACCCTTTTCACTGTCGAGCTCATGGTTATGCAAAATATTTGCACTCAAATCATATTTCAAGGATTAAAACTTGCATTCATTCGAAAACTGTTTTTCCACATGCACGCCCCTCAACTTCGGCTTCATTAAACAAAAGGCGGCTATTGCTGCTGCAGCTGGAAAATCTCGCCATTTTCATCCCAAAAGTGAGCAAAAACGGGGCGTGGCCGTAAGCTCAATATGCTTAATGCGGACAATTTTGAGTGAATGCAAATGTGAATGTAAATGTGGCATTTAATTTAAACGATTCCCTTGCAATTGGCATTTACTGGAAACACCAGCATCCACTGCACTATAGGAAATTTGACCACTTTTTCTGGCCAAAAATAATATCTCAAGAACGAAACAAAATATTTAAGTTCTGATTTTTGATTTGAGTTCACATGGTCAATAGATTTAAAATTTAAAAAAAATGTGGGCGTGGCACCGCCCACTTTTTAAGAAACACATTCTAACTCAAAAACTATGCAAGATATTTAAATTTTGATTTTTGATTTGAGTTTATATGGTCAAAAGAACTCAGAAATGAAAAAATTGTGGGCGTGGCACTGCCCCCTATTTAAAAATAACATGCTAACTGTTCGGTTTTGCACTAGTCTCACAGCTAACAGATTTACATTCAAGGTATTGAGGTTGCCTACTTAAATTATGAATTTCTTCGAAAGTGCATAAAAGGGCATATTCATATTTCACTCATTTGAAGAAAATTAAACAATCTACAACATGGACTAAATTACATTGTCCGACTCGGCCAGACTTGGTTTAAATCTCTTTTTAAAAATGTGATTTTTTTCTAAAAATTTCTTTTGCTAGACTACTTACATTTTCACTTTATTAAAAAGACAACACAAGCTTTTTGGACACTTCACATATACGAACACATAATACAAACCACATTGAAAAGTATTCATTTCAAAACTTTTGATTTTGTCCATCAAATTTTCAGTATTCGCGTTTTTAAAATGGCACCAAAAAATCGTAAATTCTAAGCTCATGTAAATGTTAACATCAACAGCTGTTTTTAACAGCTGATTTCTTCGCAGTGGCGCCATCTATGAAAATTTCTGGTATGCAACATTAAAAATTAATCTATTGTGAATGATATGCAGTTAAAATTATTTTAATCTTTTAACTTTCAAAAAATGGTTTTTGGCCTGAAAAATTTCCTATAGTGCACTGTCACCACTCAGCCAGCTGGTTGGCTGGCTGGCTGTCTGACTGGCAGGATGCTGCAGCATCCTTTCACTGGGAAGGACATTTACGCATTTGTTGCTGCTCAACTTAGTGGTTTGCCAAATGCACTCAAGTTAATGTTGCTTTCCTACCCAGAATCCGCCCACAAGACGATGTAAACAACTTTTGGGTTTAATTATAATGCGAAACCCCATACTTGAACACATTCGAGTGTGCAATTGACACATTTTCAATTTAAAACAATGAGTAACTCTAAATTCAAAATATTCTATACAATTTACAATTTTGATTAAGCTGCTGAAACAATGCAAGCTCTGTCCACATCAAAAATATTTTATTTAATGGGTTTTTAAAGCACACCGCCCAACAATTTTTCAATAAAACATGACATAGTTTGTGCTCTCGTTGCTGAAGTTAAATCGAACTAAAAGTTTCAAATAAATTCAAATAAATCCAAAAGTACAAACAACTTTGATGTCGAATGTGTCGTATTCAGTGTTTTTTATTTGCCTATTAGTTCCCATGGATTATTCAAATATTTTGTTGCATAAGTAGAAAAGCTCACAGTTTATACATAGTTAGTATTGGTTATAAAAATAATATGTTTCAATGTTAAATTTTGCAAACCATCATATTTTATTAAAGACTTCTTATTTTCTTCTCCATTGAACCAACCTGTGCTTGTAAAAAAGGATTCGAAGGAGTTTTAAAAGTGGATTCGATTGCCGACACCGAATGCGACTCATTTAAGGGTCCTGGGAAACCTGCATGTGTGGAAGAGGGTGCGAACCACTTGCCTTTTTTTTCACCCTCCTGTGCGAGTGGGAGACTCCGGACTCCCAATCATTACGTGGGCTTGGGCCATTCCACGCCCTTCCCAACCCTAGCCCCATCACACACAACCCCGCGGCACACTCCATTCCACACAATGACTTTGCATATTTGCCCTTAATTTTCGACAACGTTGACGAGCCGCGTGGAGCAATTAAGAAAACTTTTGCAATTTTCACGCTTTTGTTTCGGCATTTTTTCCAGCTCCACTTCCAGCTTCGCCCATTTTGTTTTGCCATTCCGCCCGCCAGCTGGCTTTTCCGCGGAGCAGAGACACAGGGATATATGTAAAAGGGACCTGTACAGGTCCTGAAAGTCGACTGAAATGATGCGTAATGTGCAACACTTTGAACCGGTGGCTCAATGAATTTTAGCCACGAACACCGCCCCGGCTAATTGTCTGCTTATGTCGGTTTTCTGTTTCGAGGAAGGAGGTGGAGCAGCCTTCCTTCTCCCTGACGCACTTAATTGTGTTTAATGGCATTGAATTTCATAGTAAATATCGTTACATTTCGTTGCCTTTTGCCTGAGCTGCTCAGTAATTAAAAATCAACATTGGCCGGGAATCGAGTTACTTCTAGTCTCACTCGCTCCCTCTCTAAGCCATTTTCTTGGGGCCACATAAAGTGGAAAAAAATGTGTAGAATAAGAATATATATTTCTCTTAATCTCTTTTAGTTTTGTTGGTATAACTTTTCTCAATATTTTTGCATACCTTTTTGTTGCAGTGTAACAGCCTTTTTAACTGCTTTATCGCACCACTCATTTGAGATGACGAGGGCAATCGGACGGGGATTGAACGTGGCCTGCCAGCCTTCTGCTTTGAGTAATGATGCCCTCTGACATTGTCTAAGCGATTTAATGCGTGGAATCGTGAGTTGGCTGGAAATCAAATAGACATGGCCGATGGTTGGCCCTCGAATATGCACGCGGCCACCACTCAGCCACCCAATTGAACCACCAAACCACTCTGCCACTCAGTCACTCATTTATTTATGTCGGGCACGGTGCAATGGAGGCTTTTGTGGCGCCTTTGGATCTCCTGGCCATCATCGCCTGCGGCTGGGCGTCTTAATTAAGCTTAAATGATGCTGCAAAATTTATTTCATCCCGCACTCTGCACATTTCACATCTCCCTGGTCGGAAAAGGGAGACCGAAGGTGGAGATGGAGATGGAGGTGTGTCTTCTATACCGCCTGCCGTCGTGCATATAAATTATCAACGAAAATTACATGGAACGAAAATTGAAATTGTGTGCCCTGTGTATGTCTGGGGTGGGCGTGGCAATCGTGGCAGCCCCTTGAAAAGGCTGTCATATTTGCGGCACTGCTTCTTTTGCTTCACACATAATAATTTTTAATGCTGTTCATTAATTAGCGTCAATCGGGAGCAGCTTAATTGCTCACACGATTTCACCCGAGGCGCAGTCATGAAGGAAAAATTAAGGCAATCGAATGGGAACATAATGAAAGGATGCTTACCCAACTTATTAAGGATATACGAGTTGACCCCATTAATTGGTTATTGAAAATTTATGATGGCACTAATTGCACATGTTTGTCTTGGAATTTTTCGTGGTAAATCCACTTTAAAACTTTAAAGAAATATAAAAGGTATTATACGAATATTTAAAGAAAACCAACAAAGTTGAATAAGAATTTTTCCTTTACAAGTTGCAGTGAGTGCTTGCCCGGAAAAGTATGCTATGAAAAATAGATGTGGCCTGTCGCCAAAGGAAATAGTTCGTATATGAAGAATTTTGAATGGTTCCACTTAATTTGTTTCGGGAGAAACACAGGACCGGTGTACACAGGAGACACTCATCCCAGTTGTCTGAGGCAATTTAAAGGGTTTACCATCCGGCCGGTTACGCCTTTGTCTCCGGTTATCTCCAGCCCTGATTGACAACATTTTTGTTCCGG